AAAAGACCTAAATTAACCTAAAATTTGTTTTTTTTTTAAAGATAAAAGTCAAAATGACATTATGTTGGCAATACAAGGTAAAATTGTCAATGCTTTCAAATTTTTTATGTAGAAAAGGTTTGTGCTGCCAACATAATTACTAAATTTTTGACTTGGGGAATTATCTTTAAAAAAAAAACAGACTTTATCTATTTTACCAGACAGAGTTAAATAATACGAAAACTTCAGCGGATAAAAAAAAGACGCAACAACCAAATCATTTTAAGGCGATTTCGCCCCAGATTTTCATCTGCTGTTTGGTAGGCGCATGGTTAACTAATTGATACAGACGTAAGCATAAAAAGTGGGACACCCGTTTTTTTCCTATTGTAAAACGAGCTCATCAGCTATACCTACGGCAATGACAGGGATTGTCATATTTGACAAAAAATCCATTGTAGAGAAAAGACTGATTTACCCAAAATAGCGAAAAATGAGAAGACCTGTCAGTCGAGTTTCCCACTTTTTATGCTCATGACTGTACATATGAGTAACGTAGCTCAACCATCTCATCCGAATTCAGTGGATAGGGCGTTTGGTACATTTTGACTTTGACATGTTTATTGAGAATTGAATTATTGTGCTTCAAAGTGAGACAGAGATCTACCAAACCTCTACTACCCAGTTACAAACCGCGGTATAGCATTCGACAAACCAAGGCGCCTACCAAAGTGATGACGCCATCATTCTCCCATCCGTTTTGATTGGTAAAATCTGTTTTTTTTTTAAGATAAATGTCAAAATGACATTATGTTGGCAATACAATGTAAAATTGTCAATGCTTTCAAATTTTTATTGTAGAAAAGGCTTGTGTTGTCAACATAGTTACTAAATTTTTGACTTGGGGTATTATCTTTAAAAAAAAAAACAGACTTTACCTGTATGACAGACCAAACTGGGGTACCAAACTGAGGCGAAATCGCCAAGAGCCAAGAATAATAATAATCGTTGATAGTCATAATTTGGGCTAGACGATATTCCAGATTTTAATCACTATCAACTTGTGATTTGTTGTATGATTTATTAAAAGGCAATCCAGAGCCCAAGTTAGTTTAAAATTTAATTCTTAACGGCTTTTGATTTGATAGAAAATGTTCCCATACTGCCAGTCAATCAACAGCCAGTAGTATTCAAAATTTGATTATTATCGGTAATCCAGGGAATCAACAGCCAATAATTATCCAAGTTTCAAGTATTGATTGCCTTTAGAAAAGTAGTCTAGCGAATCAAAATTCATTAATAATCTCAATTTGGGCTATTGCCGAAAAATAATCCAGATTTTAATTACCTACTAATTGCCTTTAGAAAAGTAGTCTAGCGAATCAAGAGCCGTTGATAATAATGATATGTTGTGTGATTTATTAAAAGGCAATCCAGAGCCCAAGATAGTTCAAATTTCCATTTATAACGGTACTTTTGATTCGATAGAAAATTTTCCTATAGAGTCCATCAACAGCCAGTAGTATTCAAAATTTGATTATTATCGGTTATCCAGAAAATCAAGAGCCAATAATAATCCAAGTTTCAACTATTGATTGTCTTTAGAAAAGTATAGTCTAGCGAATCAAGAGCCCTTAATAATCATAATTTGGGCTATTGCCGGATGAAGACAACAACCCAGAATGCACGGCCCAAGTTAGGTTAAAATTTAATTATTAACGGCTCTTGATTAGATAGAAAACTTTCCTATAGAGTCAATCAACAGCCAGTAGTATTCAAAATTTGATTATTATCGATAATCTAGGAAATCAAGAGCCAATAATAATCCAAGTTTCAACTTTTGATTGCCTTCAGAAAAGTAGTCTAGAGGTCGAAGAGTCTAGCGAATCAAGAGCCGTTAATAATCATAATTTGGTCTATTGCCGGTCACTAATCCAGATATCAACGCTACTATCAACTCGTGATTTGTTATGTGATTTATCAAAAGGCAATCCAATGCCCAAGAAAGTTCTAGTTTCAATTATTAAAGGTTTTTTTCTACAAACGTGTTAAAAATGCAATTTTTAACATCCCCCCGGTACATTAAAAATGTTACTTTATCGCACTAGTGCCATAAAGTCTTTATAGCACTAGTGTTAAAAATGAAACATCAAATTTTGAGAGCGAACGTCAAAAAAAGTTTGTATTTTTAGTTATTTACATTGATATTAATGGTGAAATTTGAACAACTGAGGCAGCCCGATTGGCCACCTCATCTATATTTTTCAAGGGATCGATGAAACCCTCTTTTTCTTCTGCATTTTGTTGCAAATAGCATTACTGACCACGACAGACTTTCAAGAAACTGATAAGACATTTCATTACCTGTAAAACAAGGTGCTGGTTGTTTGGATTTTTTGACAAATTATGTCAAACTCAATAATTTTATGTAGGAAAGATGCTTCCAATTTATTATTCATTTAAAAATCCAATTTGTTACTGGTTATTGCTTTTTTATTGCCGTTTGTAGAAAAAATATTGTATGATATTTACGTTAAAGGTATTTTTAAGGCACACATGTGAAAGTTTGCAGAATGAGCGAAGCGAATTCTGCAATTCACATAAAAATGTACTTTTAACACTAATACCATAAATAACTATTATAGAAAAATTTCCTATAGAGTCAATCAACAGCCAGTAGTATTCAAAATTTGATTATTACCGATTATGCAGGAAATCAAGAACCAATAGTAATCCAAGTTTCAACTATCCTTTCAGAAGGCTCTAGGCTTTCAAGAGCGAATTTAGATTGGTGTAGAACTTTAGACCTTCAAAAAGCATCTAAAACAATTCAAATCCAACTCTTTTGAACCAATTTAGAACACTTTGGAGCTTTAATAGGGCTCTAAAATAACTAAAAATCTCTCAAAACAATTTAGAAATTACTGAAAAACTTCTAGCATGTTCCAGAACCCTTCAAGCCAAGTTAGAATATTTTAGAACTTCAATATGCCATTTAGAACGTTCCAAAGCACTTACCAGCAGCATTTTGATTGGCTTCAGAGCAATTTAAAACCTCAGAATTACTCTGAGAGCCTAGGCTCCTGGAATAGACAAAAACTGAAAGGTATAAAATGAGTAATAATTAGGAAATATTAGCAAGAAAATGTTTCTTCTTGAATTTTTATAATTTTTCCTTTTCCAGGCTCTTGATTTTTCCTCATTTCTTTATTCTAATTTCTTGATTTTCTTTTGGTCCTTGGAATTTTTCCATTCCAAGTTCTTGAATTCCTATTATTCTCGGATTTTAGAATGTCAGGCTCTTGATTTGTTTTTTAATTTTTATTCCTGGCTCTTCTAATGTTTTTCTTCCAAAATGAATTTGGTGTACCTATGTTCTCGTTCATAAGAAATCAAGAATTAGCGAGCCTATAGCGTTTGGAATAGACAAAGTTATAAAATGAATGATAACAATGAAATACCTATTAGTCAAACGTCTGAAAGATGTTGGGTTTTGTAACGTACGACGTCCATGATGTTTTTAAGAGCCCTTGAAGACGCGTAAGCAGACGTATTGTATGTCGTTTGTGGACATCTTAGACGTCTTCAAGATCCTCTGTGTGTGAGTTGCAATGAATTTTAGAAAGATTTATTTTTGAAGATCCAAACCTGAGCAAATTGCAAATTGGATTGGATCATTGAGATATTTGGAAGGATCTGTCAAGGTAAAAATCTTGACGATAAAGAAAGATATTATGAAGCAAACACAAATAAGTTATTAATATAATGATTCAGATTAGGAAGTCAGTATCAGGTTATTTAATTATGGAATTTTTGGTAATACAGAACTGAAGCTTTGCCTTTATATGTCCAGTTCATAGTTATTGCTTCATATTACTCTCCAATCAAAAACTTGCCCGCATTATTGATGTCACGAGCTGCTTTTTTGTCTTCTGATAAAAATCTCCGGTAAGGTCGATCTATAATTCGCTTGTTAGATTATACATTACATGTTCTACAGAGCAACAGACTATCAGCACTTATATAAGTGGGTGTTAAATGAATCTTCAAAATGCTGATTTTACAGGGATGAAACGTCGTTCATCACAAAAGCCACAGACAAGGGCGTCCATAGAACATTTTTCAGGGGGGGGGGCAAAAACTTATTTTTAGTTTTTAAATAATAATAGATTATATCACGAGTCAATAATTATAGCTATTATTCCCGAGGAATATTTACGAACTGAGCCGCGTTTGCGGCGAGGGAGTAACATTCCGAGGGAATGATAGCCATTATTGCGAGTAGTATACTCTACTTCATTTACGACAATAATGACCATTAATCCCTCGCGGGAACAATATATGGCATTATACTGCCAATATCACAAATATTAATACTTACATTAAATGTCAGTCGTAAATAAAACCATTTATGTATAGGTAACCATACGTTTATTACTGAATGAACATAAGCAGTCTAAACTGTACTCATTTAATGACGTAATTTTAAAAAATAAACACATATTGCACAGACAGAATGTCAATTTGACAATTATTATTTATTGTGTAAGCAACTTTTATCACTTTTGCTATTCTGTTTTTTTATTCTTCTGGAAGCAATGGTAGCATCATGAAACAATAATAATCTCCAGGCCTGGGGGGGGGCAAGTGCCCCATTTGCCCCCCCCACCCCTATGGACGCCCCTGGCCACAGATCCTTCTAAATTACTTTAATGAAATCTCTACTTTACATTAAATCCCAAACTTGCAATAGTCTAAATGTAGAAACAAAAAAAAATTAGGACCTATCACAGTATATTCCTGGAAAAAGTTCCTTTCTGCAAATATAAACTTTTGTATATTCAAAACCGAAGGTCCTTTTATATACCTGGGCTCCTTCCACTGTCTACCCTGCATCGTAAAATTCTTTATTCAAGTTCACGGTTTTACCACCCATTCCATCTGACAAAAACTTTTCCGTTGAGTAATACACAGACGGTTTTCGAACAACGGACTTCATTTATATAGAAATATAGGGGCCCCGACATTCGGTTGTCAAGAACTGTACAGTACGCATACACTAAAGATATAGTTCCCCCTCATAGCCCAGCAGCAGCACAGCAATCCCATTCAAATCGCGTTCTCTTTTTCAGACCGACGAGGTGCTTTAGAAAGTTCGTTACTCGCGCGAATTTACCGGCTTTTTTTTTTCGAGACTTTCGAAAGTGAACAATGCAGTCCTTTAAATCAATCGCCGTAATCCTGTTGGTCAACTTTACTGTTGGAGTTTTGAGTGCCGACAACGAAACAACTGTAGCTTCGGTAACGACGATAAAAGCAAACAACGAAACTGAAACAGCTACATTAGCAGCTATCAACAACGACGAACCGCAAGCTAATGCTAGAAGCGATGGAACACCGACCAGAGTACCTGAAGCTGCGGAAGCTACCACCAAACCTCCGCTGGTACATGGCAAGGTAGAGAAGAAAATTGCCAATGAAACCAGTAAAAATACCACGAAACCTGAAAACAAGAGTGGAGTTTCGAAAGTTAATGCTGGACTATCGTCGGTGATTTTCGTGGCTGTGGTACTTGTTGGTTTTTCGTAAGCAAATTTTTCTTTATTTGAAAAATACATTCCCAGAAAAAAAAGTGTATCTTTTTGAATTGCACCAAATTGAAAAAACTTGTATATATTTTTGATTTAGATTTTTTTTGTTTCATTCATTGATTTGAATTCTATTGCGGCTTCATTGAATATTTATTAAGTTGTTTTTTTTTTTTTTGGCTACACAGGGTGTTTTAAATTTATTTTATACATCACAGGAAAAAGTTAAGTTGTAGTAGGTTCCAAAAGAAGAGCTGTTAAGATACTAGAATCTCATTTTTTTTGTACCTACTTAAATATTTAGTAAAATACCTAATAATTAATATGTGTGATCTATAGATAGAAAAAAATAGTAATTTAACGTTATTGTACTGTTAAACTTAAGAATGTATTATAATTATTCTAATCTAAAACCGCTATAAGCTGAAAACATTCAATATATTTAACTGTATGCGTAATTTCAATATTTATTAGTCCCGTTCATGATTGGGTTTTTCTCCCAAAGTAGGTAAGTAATTCATTTGAAATTTTGCATATGAGTATCATTTGTGATAATTTAATCATCAAATATCTTTTGTACTTGTGCTAAAAACACACATTTTTGCATAACCCTCATATTTTTCCATTAGCTGATTAGCACACAGATAAAATGCAAAACCGCTTCACATTTTTATCAATGTTACAAATTTTTTGCTTTAGCAATATTCTACTTTATTTTAAATTTCTTTAACCTCGACTGATAAAGGTTTCAGAATTACTAGTAAACAATTAAAATTTGATTTTATTGAATAAAGAGTGATATTTAATTACGAATTTGTTATACATATTGGAAAAACCTGATAATACATATTTTTTATTTACAGCTAGTATACCTAGTACCATCCACTGAAAAGAGTTGTGGGAATTTCCTGAATCAAATAAATAGACAAAGCAGTAAACAAGATTTTGGTTTGGCGAATATAAACATAGGTCAAAGGCCTTCATAGAAATTATTGTTTCAGTTAACTTCTTCAGCTGAAGTCTTCTATTTATTTCCAGGTTTGTTGGTTGAAGAAGAATAATCAGCTGTTGATCATAATAGCCAGATCACAATTTCCAAGAAGTCTTTATGCTTGACTTTTTCACTTTTCTGTTTGATTTAAAGAAAACAAATTTTACATAACAAAATTGGTCTTCGTTTTTCTCGTTTTTGTCTTCCTTCAGGTTCTACAGATCCTTGTATCTCTGTAGTATTTTCGCTTTTCTCTCTCTTCTTAATGTTTAAATCCTTTTCCTATTGATTTCAGTAGTTTCACCAGAAATTTTCTTTTTCTCCTTAGAACATCATCTTCAGTCTGGACCATAAATGAATTTGGTTCTCGACATTGTCTTACAATGTTTCCATTACATTTTAAATCTTTTATGTAAACTCGGTCATTGTCATTCAATTTTGGTAAAATTTTTGACTTATGTCTACAGTCATAATTTTTCTTTGCTTCTTCTTGTTCCTCTCTCTGCTTCTTCCTAACTTTTTCATGGTCAACCAGTTTTGGTTTTAGGTTTTTCTTTGTGGTAAGTAAAATTTCTCTAAGTTTTCGTCCAAATATAGTAGTTCTGAAGGAGAGTTTCCACATGAAAGTGGTATATTGCTAATATTCCCAAATAAGGATCTTCACACTTTTCTAACAGTTTTTTCACTAACTGTACAGCTCTCTATGCTAAACCATTACTTTGTGGAAACCTGGGGCTACTTTTTATGTGGTTGAAGTTGTAAGTTTTTGCAAACTTCCTGAAACTGTAACTATCAAATTGTAGTCCACCGTTTGAGTATAATATCTCTGGAATTCCATAACGTCCAAAGATTTCTCTCAATTTTTCAATAATATCTTCACTTTTAGTTTTCTTTAGTATAATAACTTCTGTATATTTTGAGTACACGCATCCTGTATGACAAGGTATACTTGATTTCTGTTTGTGGAATAAATCTGCGGATACATGCTGAAATGGTAAATCTGGAAATTTCCGAAGTTTCATAGGATCTGTTACCTGATTTTGGCTCTTCAAACCATTTGATGTGTTAACTTCAGTTTCTTTCCTTATAATATTTACATAGCATTTAACTTCTTCCAATACATCTTTTACATTATCTATCTGACTCATGTTCAATCTCAAATGTAAATCTAGTTATTCTAAGTCTAAATCGTTGCAATCTTACAGTCAAATCATTTATAGATTTCCTCTTTAGGATACTCAAAAGTGGTAGATGATCAGTTTGTTTAGTAAATGATTCACCTATTAGGTACTCTTCCAGTCTTTCACATACCCATACAATAGCATAATATGCTTCCTTTTCAATTTCGGCATAGCGTTGTTATGTTTCACTTAAACTTTTTGAACAATAAATAACAGGAGCCCATCTTCCACCTGGTTGAAATTGTTCTAAAAAGCCACCAATTCCGAACGAACTCGAGTCTGCGAGAGTTCTTGTTTCTTAAGTAACATCATAAGCCTTCAAAACTGATGCACTTGTGACAAGTATTTTCAATTTATTAAAACACTGTTGATGGATATCATTAAACTGAAAAGTATTGTTACGTTTTAAAAGTTCGCGTATAGATTTTGTTTCATCTGCAATATTTTTAAGAGATTTTGTAAGATGATTTATCATACCAACAAACTGCCTCACATTTGTCACTGTTTTGGGTCCTTCAAAGTCTTAATATAGCCTTTATATTGTCACTGTCCATTCTTATACCCCATTGTCCGATAATGTGTCCAAGTAATTCCACTTCTAAAATGCCTATCTGACATTTTGACTCGTTTAAGGTAAGTCCATTGTCTCGTAACACTTTAAGCACTCATTTTCTCCAAAAACTGTGATGTCATCAATGTGTACTAATACCCCTTCATGGTTATTGAAAAGTCTATTCATTGTACTCTGAAAAATTTCGGGAGCTAAAGTAATTCCAAAAGGAATTCTTTTGTCAATGTAGGTACCTTCGAAAAGGTGTTAAAAAGACAGTGTAGTGCTTCGAACCTTCTGATAACGGAAGATGCCAAAAACTTGATACATAATCTAATTTTGAAAATACTTTTGTATTTCTTATTTGTGCCAGTATTGATAAAAAAAGTTTTTCTCTTAAAACAAATTTATTATTGAGTTCAGTGAAGTCAGCACATATTCTAACTTGAGCATTTGTTTTGGGGACACAGACTCTTAGTGCACACCATGGAGTAGGATTATTGTAATCCACCTGCTCAATTATTTCTTGATTCACCATTTTCTGCAGCTCTCTTTTAACTTTATCCAATAATGGAAGTGCTACTCTTTTGGGTGCTGAAATTGAGTATAGTATGGTACACAGTTTTCTGTCATTTCTATCTTGTATTCATAGTCTTTTAATTTCCGAATTCTGTTGAAACGTTCTGGGAAATATTTTGTAATTTTTCTCAAACATAGTTTTTCAGTACTCACAGTTTTCTGGGCATTGATGCTAATAATCAGTTTAAACAAGTCCAAGTCCTGTATTGCAGGTCTGCCAAGTAAATTTTCATGACTTTCCATGCTCTTTGCAGGATTCCCGGAGCAATACTTCCTTCACTTCCCTAATTTTTTTGCGTATTATCCGATGTATTCTCTTGATGCACTCACTATGATTGTTGTTTTTGTGGTTTCGTCTCTCCTCCATAAGGTTCAATATGTCCTGCGTCATCCATTCTTTTTTGCCTTTTTTCCCCTTTGGGTTTACCAGCTGCTGAACTCTTCCATTTCTCAAAGAAGTTTTGAGATCGCGCCAATTTTTTTCGACACTATATTGTTATCAAGGAGAAGCGATACTGTTGTATGTATATTACCATTTATTTTCTTGATTAGTTCTTTGATGGTTTCGGGGTCCTTTGGTACCTATATGTTCTTGTATTTTTGAAGTCTTCGATGGTTGTTTCTTTTTTTAAAATTTTACGCCTGGTAGGTACTGAGCAGAGCAAGTTATGATTAGAGTACACGTCAGCTCCAGGATAGGTTTTCGTTGACTTATTGCAATTCCGGAATCGCCGGTTGATCAGGATGAAGTCGATCTGATTTCTTACAATGTGTGTTGGGGGGACGTCCATGTGTAAAGTCTCCTGTATGGAAGATTGTACCACGTATTTGTCATCACGAATTCTTCTTCTGGACAAAACTGTACAACTCGTGTTCCCCTGTTGTTACGTATTCCTAGGTCGTACTGTGCGGTGTGACATCTTCTGTTGTTTCTCTGCCCACTTTTGCATTCAAATCTCCCATGATAATAATGATTTCGTGTTTTTTTGTCGCCTTTATTAGTTCTTTAATTTGTTGATAGAACTCTTCGACTTCGTCATCATCATGGTCAGTAGTAGGGGCATAGACCTGAATAATGTTCACATTTACAGGTCTCATCGCCAGCTGTAATATAGCACTACTCGGTCTGATAAGGGTAAATGTTTCGTACTGATTTGCTGAAGGATTTATTTAGTACCTACTATAGCCACTCCGTTTCTATGAGATGCATCTCTCGTTCCGGATGTGTAAATTGTATAATCTCCTGAGTCGAAATCTTGTTTCACACACCCCTAGTATTTCTATGTATATTCTTTGCATTTCCAACAGTAAGTTGTTCAATCTTCCCGCATAGTAAAGTGTTTGAACATCCCATGTTCCTATTCTCAGATCGGATCTTATTCTTATCCGTCGATTTCTCTCACGAGGTTTTCGTAGGCTTACGACCTGAGAAGCCTCGTGTTGTGAGTGTGTTTCTCCTCTCCGCATCTTGGTTTCCGATTTCCATATCATGGTGATTTTCTTGGGGAATCTTGAAGATCTTTAATACAGTTCTTTCCCATTGCCTTCTGTATCCTTATGCCGTTTACCATTTTGTTGGTTCATCCGCCTGCGGGGTCAATTTCTTGATCCCAGGGCAAGAGGGTGCCCTTCACTTGCCAGCTCTTACACGCGGAGCAAGTGGTGACTGCTTATTCCGGCAGCCGCGTGAGTAGATTGGTCCACTTAAAAACTCAAAAACTCTGGGTCCGAACATTGCTTTGATGATATTTTCTTCATTCGGCTCGGACTCTCATTAGTTGCAGATTCTGATCCTTCATATTTTGGCCCCCTTTTTAATCTTGAAGCACTCCATCTTGTTAGAAATCAAGATATTTATAGGTTTCTCCTTCATTCATGTCATGAATAATGTCTCCAGTTGAGAGGAGAACATTGTCATTTATGATTTTGAATATTTTAATGTTTAAAGTTTTCCATTTTTCATGTTGATGTCATTTCAAGTTACTCAGAATTTGCTCCATAGATCCTGACATACAGAAAATGAAAGAAAGTTTGCTGGGACCGTTCCCATGAATACAATCTCCACATTGGAAATTCCTATTTTCAAAGTATAGCTTCCTAAAATCATGCCCTATATTCTGACGAGCAAACTTTATGTACCATACCTGAAGTCCTACTCTAATTAGATTTCTTTTTTCAGTTTCTATTTTGATTTAAAAATAAAGTTACCCTTATCTAACCCTGCCTCAATAATTAATTCGTCCTATTCATTCTTGATTAAAAATTATTACTTCTTATCATCAACAACAGATGAAGAGGTCCATAAATGGCAGTCGTAAAACATGTACAGTATTGAACTTAGCAAATTTCAGATCGTTTTTCTTCTACATCCTTGACTGCAGTAGCTTCCCTTTTTCTAAGATCACTCCTGAATTGATATTATTAAATCAAGAGTAGGTAATTTGGATTATTATGGGTTCTTGATTGCTCCTAGAGCAATTTTTCAGTGAATAGAGAACTGATAATAATAGTCCCAACCCAACAGTTTTCCAGCCAATCGAGTGACAGTAATAGTTCAAATTTTGAAAAAACTTGCTCTGGAATGACAGCCAAGAGCCGGTAATAATCACAATTATTGGACTTTTGCCGGGTCTTGATTGCATCTACAAAAATCGCTGAGCGAATAGCTGGCAATAGTTCAAATTTCAATTGCCTTTGCTCTGGAAAAATAATCTTCTTCTTCTTCCAATGCGTATCCACTAATGGATATTTGCGAAAACATTTTCCATTGCTTCTCTATTCCTTGCGGTGTGTATCAACGACTGCACATCATGTAGCCCCTGTCTAGGGACTTCCAGGTATAGAGTCGGCGAGGGTGAAGTTGATACCATGTATTTGTCACTTTTATGCTCTCCTCCTTCCATACGATCCAACTAACTCCTTAAATTCATACCCTTTCCTATTTTGACATTGAAGTCATCCAATTATGTTGACGATATACCATCAATAATCAAACAAATCAAAATCTGGAAAACCTCCTAGCTCTTCATTTCCTCCAACAATGATCCATGGTGAATCAAGAACCGATAATTTTTGTATTCAGGGGGATGTTGAAAGACGCACTTCTAACTTCTAACTTCGCTTAGCAAATTTCTTCAAAAAAAATAAGATTCCAAGAATCCTGGAACAGCAGAAGTCATCTTTCCTCTTCAAAGCAGGTGACAATGAAAATGCAACTATGATATCAAGTATTAGTGCTTGGCGATTCGATTCAATTGAATAAACAACTTCAATAAGTTTTTCCTAAGTGTGATATGGCTTAATGTAAGAAAAACTTTCCCAATTTCTTCAAATGCTGAAAATGCCAATTGATCAGGTCAATTAGGCATCGTCCACTTCGTATTCTTCTTGGCAGAGTCATTCTCAAGAGTTGGCGCTTTTGGGTGATATTTACGTATTGATCATCAATTTGTGAGTAGTACTTCAGGATCAGTCCACTTTAGGCCAGAACAGGTTTATTACTGTGATGAGATTTTCTGCATTAAGCTAGGACTTGAAAGAACTGTCATTGGTTGCAGATTATGATCCTCTTCACCTCTTGGTCCCCTTGTCATTCTTGATTCTTGAAGCATTCCATTTTTTTGAAAACCGAGATTTTTATGATTTTCTCCTTCATTCATGGCCTGAATTATGTGTTTTTGCATTTTTCAATATTCAAGATTTTACATTCTTCCCAAGATTTTCCATTACGAATCCCATGTTGATGTCCTTCTAGTGGATGTAGGTCACATCCAGTTGCTCAGAATTTGCTCTACCTATATCTTTTTCAAAATATACATACCTATATTGCTTTCCGAAATCTTGCTCTATGTTCTACCAAGCAAATTTGTTGTAGGTATCATACTTGACGTCCTACTTCAATTAGCCTTGAGGCTTCTTTTTTTAAATAAATTGGCCATTTCAAACACTGACCCAACATTTAATTCTTCTTTCAGTGTTGGTTAAACATTAATTATTTCTTGTTATCAACAATAGATGAAGAGGACCATAAATTAAACCTTGTAAACATATACAGTCTCCAACCAATTTTAAACTAAAGCCCGGTTGACACGGTCCAAGTGTTCTTGGATGACAACTGGGTCCAAGTGAGTTGGCAGCCAGCCTACTAAGCCAGATCGATTGACACAATCAAAGTGTAATTATATCAAGTACACTTGGACGCTGCTTGCGCCTTGGACGATATTTGGATCGTATCATTTAAGCTGGGTCTAATATCTAAGTAAGTACGTTGGCTGTCAACTTACTTGGTTCAAGTTTTCTTATGACAACTTGAACCAAGTAAGTTGGCAGTCAGCCTACTAAAAGCCCTGTCGACACGGTCCAAGGCTCCTACTTGATTCAAGTACACTTTGCCCGTATCAACCTGCCTTGCAAATTTCAACAGATCGTCGATATTATCAACCCTTTCTTTTTCAGTTCAGCGTTGTTCTCTATTGTTGATGAGCATTATTTTACTTGATAAATAATGAGATTTAAAGTTGAATTGAGAGCCCAAAATAAGTCCTCAACTCTTCTCTTGTTTAATATGTTATTACACACACCATGTATAAAGTAGAAAAATATGTAACATAATTTTATTAAATAAACTGCATACATTTAATAATCATTCTCTCTTGAATCCAGTTTTATAATGTAATTTTTCCAATGATGTATCAATTTATTGAAGCGTGTTGAAAGTATTTCGTTTCAACATGAAATTTATCAATTCACACATATATGCAAAATTTCAATTCAATTATTATTAATTAAACATAATTAGTACTTTTATGTCAAAAATCCTACCTACATTAATAAATAGCGTAAACACTATACTACTGGCTTTATATCCTGCAAATAAAATTAAACGTATCGTACACAACAAGTAGAATTAGTTTAATAATGTCAATATTAGAGCTTAGGGTCTAATGTTTGAATTAAAATTTATTGTATAAATCGCCAGGCTTGTTTTAGTTTTGATTTTGTCAATATAATATCAATGTTTATGTATCCAGGTTCTTTGTCTGTTCTAAATCAGACTACATTTATTCAAATTAACTGTATCAGTTTTGTTCTATGATAAAAAAAAGTATGTTGCCATAATCATAAACAACGCAAATTTGCATAAGATAGCTTTAGGTGTATTTCAAATTAAATTGTTGTTTAGAATTTGTACTATGCCAAATAATATTTACGAAATAAATGTATATGTAAGAAATTTGTATAGTGTTTCAATAATAATTCCATTATGTTATTGAACAGGTATTATACAATTTTTGTGTTGCATTATTTATATGTAATGATAATCAAAATGATAGATATTGTGATTTATTTTTCCATAGAAAACTAGATTGTGGACAACCTGAATAAAATAAATATGCCTTAAATAAATTATTCACCTCCAAGGATTTTTGCTCCTAATAAATCTTGCACGTGGGAGCCAGAGTAACTGTTTCAAGTAAAATCTATTAAATTCTAACTGTTTGAAAATTGATTTTTTTATTTTTTAGCCTCTATACAAATTATTTATAGCAGCAATAAACTTGCAGCAAAAAAAAATAGCTTACTGTAAAGCGACCTTTAAATAATTAAATGCTTTTTCTTGTAGGTCAATAATATTACAGCCCTGGAAAGGCATATTCTGATAGTCATACTCACCTACTTTTCCAAAAGAATGAAAAAATAAATATACCCTTTGATCTAATCACACTCAATTCAAGATATTTGAAATTTTCCACATGCTGTTACTATTATTACTTGATCTATTTATACTCCAGGGATCGCAAGCCAGTGTGATAATACAACTTTATTAAATAAAACAACAAAGATAATTAACTAGTAGTTTTCTTAAATTTAGGCTTAAACCTTTTAGCAGACTTAATTTTCTTCAAATCAACCTTATCCTCCTGTTCAACTATTTCCCTCAACTGCGCCAAAGACTCCTTGTATTGTTTTCCTAACGGCTCCAAATCTTCTTCTGAAATTTTTATCTAAAACCAAAACATTAATAATTACAAGCAAAAATAATCCAATTATTACCTCTTCAACATTATTCTTTTCAGCCTGTTTTAGTAGGCCTTTAAATTTGGGCACTTGGGAACTGTGTAAAAATGTAACAGCCAAGCCTTGTTCACCAGCCCTAGCAGTTCTACCAGCTCTGTGGATGTACGATTTTAGGAATTTAGGGGCTGAATAGGAAATTACACATTGGACATTTGGCAAGTCTATGCCTCTAGCTAAAGCATCAGTGGAGATTAACCTAAAATAATTATAGTATTAATGATTGTTTTTAAATTTAATAGTACACTCACAAATCAATATTTCCTTCAGAAAATTTCCTAATTAATTCTGTTCTGCTTTTTTGTTGAAGATGCGATGATATTTCTTGTATCGACAATTCATTTTTAAATAAAGATTTTAAAAGTATAGCAAGTCTATGGGCACTTTCAACAGAATGAGTGAAAATCAACGTTTTCTTTAGTTTTTCAAGTTTGACAAATTTGTACAACATTAGAGGCTTCAAATCCACCGAAGTTTCAATATATTTTTCTATTAGTTCTTTAGGCGTTGTATATTTGCCTATAAAAGTGTCCGTATTGAAATCTTGCGGTTGATTGTCTTCGGAAGATTCCACGATTGAGGTGAAAAGTTTGGGTTGGAATAGGGACAATTGTTGTAGTTTTTCAGGGTCTTGCGACAGAGTGGCTGAAAATAGTAGTTTTTGCGGTGGACGTTGTTTTTGTAAAGTGAATTGGTTTAGGATTCTTGATGGACCTGAAAAAGAATATTCAATTATTAGGTTGTAGTACAATGCAAAATTATTGTAGTTATTTTTGATTAATCTATTATTGGCTTTCAATGGTTTTAATTTTAGGGAATGTTCGAAAGTCTTAGTAGTTTCTGAGCAGTCTAATTGGGTTTCAATTTAAACACTTAATCAGAAGCAATCAGCATCTTCAAAAATCCAAATCTCATTGACGCTTTTAATCAGTTTGATTTGATCCAAGTCAAATTCAATCAAGACACACTCACTTCAAAAATAGACTAGTAAGTATGCAATTTTTCTCTGATTGGTTGTGACTGATATTAATATTACTGTTTAGTAATTTGACTGGCTCTTGACAAGTTTCAATTTTTGAGTTTGTTCCCACAAAACTCCAACAACATTCCAAAAATGTGTAAAAAAACAGTTCACAAATACGTAGTTTTAATTGGCTCTCACTAAGTTTGGGTTTTGGAACACTAGAAACTATTTCTGACAAATTTAGAGGCTAGAAAAAATATCCAATGCCTCAAGAGCCGATAATAAATAAAATTTGCATGAAAAGTGAAATTTGAAACACTGGAAAATACTTCCGACAAATCAAGAGCCAGTAGTAATCAAAAAAATAACTTTTCTCAAGATAACTACTAGTAGTGTGTTTTTTCTTTGTGACAAGGAGAAAACTAAGTTTCAAAATTTGAGAAATGTGTCCTATGAATCCTCAGGCCATCTTCTTAGAGAAGCGATAGCAATTTCGAAAAACGATGTAGTCTCAGTAAGAGTATAGGTAAATGCATTACTCTGGGAGATGCTCACGCTATAGACGTGTACTACCACATGAAATGTTGGAGTAAAAATGGTTCAAACATAATTCGAAAACATAGGGCCGCTGATAGTGATGAAGTATCACCAAGAACTACTGCATCCCTTGTAGAGTTTCTTGTTTGTGTCAAGTCATTTCTTAGGGACGGAAATATTATTTATGTAGCCGACCTAGACAATACGTATTTAAATATATGTCTCTCTAAAAAGGAGAATGAATTTGAAAGAGTATCTCTCAAATATACGAGTGATATGGCTAGGCAAGAAGTTGAAGATAAAGTTAATAATTTAGACATTTTACCATCCATCGTTCCCAAATGGAAATTCACTGGTTCTTTAGAGGATAGCAAATTTAAAATTCCTGAAGAAGTTGAGTTTTTTCTAAAATGGTTCTTGTGTGGATCTGAGCAAATTACCTCCACCTCTAGAAGACAGTCTATAATAGATAATCGTGTAAATAGACTTTCAGAAATTTTAATGTTTGAATGTCTCACTGAGCGCCAATAAAAATTAGGTGATAAAAGCAATATACAAAGAACGCGGGAACTTCCGTTGCAAATGGGTATAGGTCTGGCTATAGGTACATAAAAAGACCCGCAGTAAATATTCTAGCAAAACTTGGGTTATCTGTTGATTGAACGAAAGTTTTGAACGCAGAAAGCGATATGTCCCAGTTTCAAAGGCAATATCTGATAATGAAGGAGTATATGTTCCTCCGACCTCCAGAGCTCTCAAAAACTTACGACTTTAGCGAAGATACGCTAGATGGACGAAAAACATTACACACATTGAAGGTAGAATAATAGGGAGACGCTGTCAGCATTTGAATAGTAAAATAAAAACGGTATCGATAAGCGTGGCTAAAGACACTAACAATATGGCTACTCACACAGAGCCGAACTAAATAAATTCTTTATAATTTTTATCCAAAAACGTAAAAAAATCTACATTACGCCAAGAAAGAAGAAGTTACTACAGAAACTTCTGTCCTTGTTGGTTATCAAGAAGGAAGTAGCGAACATATGGTTCAAAACTTACATAAACTGTGCTTACATATAAATTCAAATGAACTTGCCGAAATTGGAATACCACCAAGAATTTACTCAATTGACGAATGTAGTAATACTACATTCGTGGAAACCGGAAACCCTACTGAAAACTGTTGCTGGTTACTAGCTGTCAGATTTCGTCTTCTGAGCAACGTTAATGAAACAAGACCTATTCTTTAGATCAAACACCGACTGATTTATCAGTGCAGCTGACTGATTTAAATATTTTTTAAAGAGTCAAAAATTCTGTCAATTCTCCTGGTAAGCGTACAGTTATTACAGTGGACTTGGGTTTTTAGACCTATGCAGCTCTTACTTCTAGAGAAGAAAATAAAAGACATAATTTTGCTTCCTGGTGATTTACACATAACAATGGCGATCCTAAGAGCAATTGGATCTTTTATTAACCAGTCTGGAATACCAAAATTGTGGGTAGAAAGTGGGATAATGTATAGTGAGCAGGTAGCTAATATGATTCTAGAGGAAAAACCTTTACGCAGATCTATTGGAGCGCACATAGTAGCAGTTCTCACTATATATTGATGAGTTGCTGAAAGCCAATCCAGATTTAAAGAATGCTTTTGAGGATCTTGCCTCAAATTTAGCCACTGCTTGAAATACTCCAATGGACATGGAGAGAATTCGTATGTCTACAGAGAAGCTGCAAAGTATTTCCATCAGTGAAACCGAATTTTGTACCAGCATGGAAGCCTTTAATGATTCAAACACGAAATCGAAACTAACATTTACATTTGCAATTCAGTATACAGGGTGCTACAAATTGGAGTGTATGCATGGGGATATCGGAAACCGTAAGAGATACGAGGTTGGTTAAATTATGGCAAAGTTGCGCAATTTTATGACCAATAAAATTCCGTTTCGAAATTTGAACAATTCCGAAGATATTCGGAAAAAACCGAAATTAGGCAGAATCATTTTTATTTTTTCCTGAGTCTATTTGGAGAGCAATTTCAAAATAAATGTCACTTCATCGTTGTCACTTTTTTCCCTTTACAAGATGTTGCTACCAAATTTCAGATTCGACGTTTCTTGTTTGGGCGGCCATCATCAACTTCATTTTTTTGAATACGGACCTTTATTCTTTACTTCAGATTTTATAATCTTCTGACGTCTCAAAACCAATAACGTATTGCACTTATTCGAAAAATTTATATTATTGGCATTTTCCATAAGAACTTAATGTGTTAGAGCAGTGGTTCCCAACCTTTTTTTAGTCACGACCCTTTTACAGATTTGCTCATAAGGTCGCGACCCCCCTACCCATTAATAAATTAAAACCAAAATTTCATTTATTTGAGAAATCTATAACAAAAATATTAATATTTTGTAACTAAATACCTACAAAAAGACAATTTTCATTTTGTTAATGTGATAACTGAGCTTGCATCTCCGTAACAAGTTTTGAAATTCTTGGTTGAGTTTTTGTTTAAGCATCTTATGTCATCTTGAACTCCCAGTCTATTTCTGGCTTTTGTTCTAATTTGCAAAAAAGTTGAAAAACCACTTTCACGAAGGTAGGTAGAGGCAAATGGTATTAGTATCCGAAGAAAAAACACAAGCAGGACGACATAAGGATATGAACTATGCATGGCACATGGCACATCAAAATTCAGTCAAGAATTTTTCCTGAAATAGGGCAGGTGCTGTGGAATCATTCCTTAGCTGTGAAAATTTATCCTGCACTTCATCAGGAACGTTGGCAACATCTAACGAGGCTTGAAACGGGTTCCTTACTACTGCAGGTTTTTGTTCAGATAACTCGGGAAAATAACGCCCTTTCATTCTCAAGGGACTGAAAGTTATAATCAATTGTTCTCTTTTAGATTCTCCACAATTTCTGTTTCTGATGCTTCAGCCATTATGCATCTACCTATGTTCAAAAACAAAGACCAATGCAACACTGCGCGGCTTTTGGGGCAGAGACTAAGGCGTGTTGCCAAATGCAGAAAAATATATATTATTATTGGCATTGCGACCCCTCCAAAAACACTAAGCGACCCCCTCAGGGGTCGCGACCCACCGGTTGGGAACCGCTGTGTTAGAGGGAGACAGAGAAGATAATTTTGGTGGGAAATTGCTAAAAAGTAATAAAAATAATTTTTCGAATAAATGCGATACGTCATAGGTTTTGGGATATCAGAAGCTCTAAAAATCTGAAATAAAAAATCCAGGGTCGTATTTAAAAAAATAAAGTTGATGATGGCCGCCCAAAGACGAAACGTCGAATCTGAAATTTGGTAGCAACATCTTGTAAAGGTAATAAAGTGACAATGACGAAGTGACATTTATTTTGAAATTGCTCTTCAAATAGACTCAGGAAAAAATAAAAATGATTTTGCAAGATTTCGGTTTTTTCCAAATATCTTCGGAAGTATTCGGAATTTTTCAAATTTCAAAACGGAATTTTATTGGTCATAAAATTGCGCAACTTTGCGATAAATTAACCAACCTCGTATCTCTTATGGTTTCTGATATCCCCATGCATGCACTCCAATTTGTAGCACCCTGTATAAGCACGAGTGTCACTTTACTCTCTTTTGTTTGCGCAGTACGCAATAGGGACTGAAATTTAAGAAATATGGCCCTAAAAACATATCTGAAATATTTATTTGCATTAAACCTTAGAAATTGCGTGTATATCCACGGTCAGCTTGTGATATTGCTCCATGTACGAGGGTTGATTTACAAATACAATACAAATACAAAAACAAAGTCACTGTGTCATTATCAGTGCATAGAATGGTAAAGAGACATACTTCCCTATTCATGTTCACCACCATCAGCGAAATATGGGTGGAAATTGGTTAACGGTGAATTTGAGCCCATAATATGACCTTCCCTGTGCCCTCAGACGAAGTGTTAAATTTGGTAAGATGCTAATGTCAGAAGAATAATTGCTCCCAACGCTTCAAATGTGCCACTTTACATGTGGTATGCTCATGTGAAGGAAATCTTGATTTTTGTGCAAATGTTGGACTCAGAAGATTCATTTTTAAATTGACAAAATTAGGGGTTTTGACATAAGGCGTATTTGTATGTTTTCAACTCAGTTTTCAACTCTTAATAACCTAGGGGTTGGAACTAGTGGAAGTTTTTTAAAGTTTCAAAAACTTTTTTGTAATAATAAATACTACTCGAGATACTACTCTTCAAATTCAAGACAATGTTCGTCTATACTTTACTAAGCTAATTTACAATACTTTATAAGGGGGTGGCTATAGAGGTTGTTTTTGCCCTCAGACACATTTGCGAGAGAGGGCCGGCATAGCCCAATATTGTATCACAAATATGCGAGAGGAATACAAATTGAAACCAGACTTAGGAATGTAACTAAAAAAATTGCCATTGTTTGATAATTTCAATTCTGAAGCTTCTCAGCTGCAAAACTGTTGGAACTAAATTAAAATGTTGATAGATGGGTTTGTAGATAATTTAATTGGCTTTAATTAGGACTATATTGAAATTGGATGAGAATTCACGAAACGGAGCTGTGAGGCAAAAACTGTCTCAGTGTAATTTTTGGAAAATTTTCAATGCTTGATAATTTCAATTTTGAAGCTTCTCAGGGGCAGAACTGTTGTAACCAAATTAAAATCTTAGAAGGTTTGTAGAGAATTTAATTGGCTTTCATAAGAACTCAACTACATTGAAATTGGATGAGAATTCACGAAACGGATCTGTGAGGCAAAAACTGTCTCAGTGTAATTGTTGAAAAATTTTCAATTTTTGATAATTTCAATTTTGAAGCTTTCCAGGTGCAAAACTGTTGGCAACAAAATGAAATCTTATTTAATAGGTTTGTAGAGAATTTAAATAAATTTGATTAGAGCTCAATTATATTTAAATCGGATGAAAATTAACGCAGTTGCGAGGTAAAAACTGACTTAATATTTGGAAAATTTTCAATGTTCGATAATTTCAATTTTGAAGCTTCTCAGGTAGGTACTCAGGTGCAAAACTCTTGAAACCAAATTAAAATCTCAAATGATAGGTTTATAAAGAATTTAATTGGCTTTAATTAGAGCTCAATTACATTTGAATCGGATGAAGATATACGGAGCTGTGAAGCAAAAACTGTCCCAGTGTAATTTTTGGGAAATTTTCAATGTTCGATAGTTTCAATTTTGAAGATTCCCAGCTGCAAAACTGTTGGATCTAAATTAAAATCTTAATTGACAGGTTTCTAGATAATTTAATTGGCTTTAATTGAAACTCAATTACATTGAAATCGGATGAAAATTGCCGAAGCTGTGAGGCAGAAACTGTCTCAGTGTCATTTTTGGAAAATTTTCAATATTCGATAATTTCAATTTTGAAGCTTCGTAGCTGCAAAACTGTTGAAACTAAATTAAGATCCTAATTGATGGGCTTGTAGAGAATTTAATTGGCTTTAATTAGAGCTTAATTACATTTAAATCGGATGAAAGTTACGGAGAGGTGAGGCAAAAACTGTCTCAGTGTCTTTTTTGGAATATTTTCAATATTTGATAATTTCAATTTTGAAGCTTCTCAGATGCAAAAAAAATAAAATATACAATTTTGTCAAATACTATTATGATAACCCTCAAAAACCCAATAGAAATTTTCAAAAAATCCAGATTTTTGCCAACCGTCTTAAGGGCCTCTAGATAAAAATCCAAGGCCTCAAGAGCCGATAATTAAAATTTGGATCAAAAGTGAAATTTAGTACCCTAGAAAATATGTCTATTAAATCAAGAGCCAGTAATAATCAAATTTTGAGCTATTAACGGCCCTTGACGGCCTCTAGAAAAAATATCCATTGCCTCAAGAACCAAGTTTTTTTGCCTCAAAAATTAGGTCTTTGATTAATTTCAGATCTTTTTCAATATTAATGTATCATATCCATTCCCATTCATGCGGTAAATTTATTGTTCCTACTTTTAATACTTGTTCATTTGATATTATTAGATCTACAATACTTTTTGAACTTTTGAAGTACCGTTCCGAATCCGAAATGAACTGTTTCATGCCTAGGGATGTAAGCCAATTTTTCTGACAGTGTCATGTCACAGTCAAAATGAAAATGACGGTCACGTCATTTATTTTTATGACACTCTTGTCATTTATTTTTTTATGCATTAAATTTTCTGACAGTCAAAATGATAACTGACCGTCATTAAAATATATGACCGTCATTTAAATATATGACAGTGTCACAAAAATATCAGCTGACTCTCGATATTTACTGTCAATCTTGTAAAGGAGATGGGAGTGTACTTTCTAACTCATTAGATTACTTTGATGCTGATGACTGTGAAACTGGAGAAGAACTATAGTCAGCCAATCAAATATCTGATTATTGATTTAAGTTACGTTATGTTCTACATTCACGGTAAATGACAAAAATGACAAAAAAATTACTGTCACTTATCACAAAAAATAAATGACTGTCATTTTACATCCCTATTCATGCCTTCTATTATATACTGATAATTTCATTGAGCTTCTTAATATACCAGTATCTGTATTCAAAATATTTATCACCTACTTAAATGGATAATAATAGGTCTGTTCGCATAGACATCTCAGAGCAGTCAGAGTGAATTTCATTGGTTGAAACTAATTTTCTGACTGTTTTCAGCCAATGAAATTTGCTCTGACTGGTTTATGATTGCTGCACGAACAGGCTTAATTTTATTTTCTTCTCATAATGTTTCATATTTATTTTCCAAAAATGTATATAACTTCCGCTTGGAGATCAGTAGTAAACACATAGGTAAATGGTGAGTTTCTTCATGCAGAATTTCAAATTTTAAATATGTAAACCAATATTCATAATCAATAGACTTTTTAACAGAAATTTGAATTTTTTTTTTTGAGCAATTAAATACCTAATAATCAAATATTTCTACATAGTTAGTTATGTGTTTCAGTGAGTAGGTATACCTTCAGGATAGATATGCTTTTCTAAATGGTACAGCCAATCGTTCTGGACACTTTCCAGCACACGATCAGCTTCGTCTATAATAAGAAATTCCAAAAATTGCAAATCAAACCCTTCAGTTAACTTCAAGTGGTCCACCAAACGACCAGCCGTGCAAATCAAAATGTCGATTTTTGTCAAAAATCCAAATGCCTCATCTAAAATAAACACAATAATAATTTACATTGCACAATTTTTTTAAAAAATCAATTACTTTTAGTTACAATTTGTTTTTGTTCAACCTCGAAACTGTTTTGTCCAGTGATAAGGCAAATATCGATGCTAGTGCCTTCTGAATAAGTTTTGAAAGCCCCAAAAACTTGCCTTGCCAAGTCTTGAGTGGGCAATATAACTAGGCAACGAATTTTTTTGACTGTATATTTTTTGAGCATTTGTATTACGGGTAATACAAAGGCTAAAGTTTTACCGCTACCTGTGGGAGCTGAAACACAAATATCCCTGGGAAATATTATATCAGAGTGCCTAAAAATTAATTTGGTTAAAAATTAGTTCTAGTCTATAATTTATTTATTACTTGTTGCTTTCTAAAAGCCAAGGGATTACTTCAGCTTGGACAGGGAAAAAACTGGTTACTCCGTTGGCTATTAATAGTTGACGTAATTGTTGATCTAAGGCTTTTATGTCTGAGACTTTGTTTTCAAGTTTTTGTAAGTTTACAGAAATAATTGTTGGATTTGTGAGCCATCTAGGTAAAACTCTTTTGACCTGAAAATGCAATTAAGTTTGAATTAAACATAAACATTACTCAAATTACTTAGGTACCTTATTTTTTTTGTTGAAATTATCAACACCCAATATAGTGAAGCCTTCAATATCATTAGGATTGGCTGGTCGTTTTTTGGATTTTTTGATTTTTGCTTCAGTTGTTGCTGTTGTTTCTTCGATTTTAATTTTACTATCTTCTTCATCCAGAAACTCTTTATCCACTTTTTCAGTAGCAGACACAAGTTGGGCCTCCCTTTTTTTAATTTCTCGTTTAATTTGCCTCGACTTGGTGGTTTTCTGGATGGCGTCTTTGATTTTCTGTTCCTTTTCCTTTTGTTTGTTTCGCAGTTTCTTATTTCTTTCGATTTTCTTTAGGGTTTGATCCAATTTCGCTTTTTCTTGGTCTTGGTTTTCGTGATCAGGTTCCTTATCGATATGTCTTTTAGAATAAATCAATTATAGGATTTTCGAATGTATGTAATTCAATTTTAATTAATTGATAGGGTTGTTTTCTTACCTATTTACAACAAATAATTCCATTTTATTTATTTAAAATTTAAAAACTAATGAAAACAATGAAAACATGCACAACTTGATAATGTGAGGTTAGGAATGTTTGATCGATGGATCGATCCTTCGATGTTGATGTTGGATGGCTGCACTGGCACCATCTATGTAGGAACCTCATAAGCTTGAATTTCAGATCACTGCAATTCAGGAAAATTGTTTTTATCGGTCCAGTGAATATTTTTTTGCTTACGAGCGTGCAGTAGTAAAGTGTACTTTATCGCACTTATTTGCAAGTGAAAAGTAGCACTTTATCGCACACAATGCGATAAACCTTGCGTTCGGTATTTTGCTCAAAAAGCAGAGCGTGCTGAGCGGAGCCGTAATCACGTGACCAGTGAGCGAACAGAACAGTTGAACGCTGTTTAAAAGTACCAGAAATTTTAATAAACGAACGCGAATGAGGCTGCACCGAGTACACTTTTTAAATAAACGAACGGTAAAGTCAAGCTCGGAGAACTCGGACCAAAATAACGAACGCACGGAAAGTAAATTTACCGCATAGTGTGCGAAAAAGTTGACTTGTGTATTTCCCAGACAGCTAGGGTTGCCAGACGTCCCGATTTTAACGGGACAGTCCCGAGTCCCGATATTGGAGATTTTGTCCCGTGTCCCGATGGAGCATACGTCCCTATCGCTATGGCACTTGCTGTCTTTTTCTGTCTTGTCGAAATCAATAGAGAGGAGTCGTCGATAGAGATAGAGAAAATATCTCTTTTCGTTACATAGTCCCAGCCCAGAATACCCTTGTAATCCCTGTTTTAGCGCCAAATTATGCACGGACTGATAAGTGTCAGGTTATTACCTAGCAGGTACTTTCCATGCTCTAAAGAATAGAAAGTACCTGCTAGGTAGGGTTTCCATACGTCCGGATTTACCCGGACATGTTTGGGTTTTTAGGGTGTCCGGGGTAGTCCGGCCGGAATTCGGAATAATGTCCGGAAAACTCGGAGATCGTGAAAACAGTCATACTAAATCAGTTTACGCATTATCCAAAAAACGTAAAATTTTACTTCACGCATAAGTACATAAAGTAATTCACTTTACACACTAGTGCATAAAGAAATGCCAATGACAGATGTCGACACTGTCATTTTTTTCTAGTAAATCACTTCACTTTAAGCACTAGTGCGTGAAGTATTTGTCTGAATTAATTTTTTTTCACATTTATTATTGGTAGTAGAATTTTTTTTTGTATATGCACTACGCGTGTAAAGTGAACCTAATTATCACGAATGTGAATTTTGTCGCACTAGCCTTTCATTTTACACACTTGTTGCAGGAATAGCTATTTCGGCGAAGTCCGGATTTTGTCCGGATTTCTTGACTCCTTTGTCCTGAATTCCGAAAAACCTTTATGGAAACTCTACTGCTAGGTAACAACCTGACACTTATCAGTCGGTCTATAATTTAGTCCTTAAAGGGGGTAATGTGGGTCTTTTAATCCCCGGGATTAAATTTCAATTCATTTCCCAAGGGATTAAAATTTTACTTTATTTCCCCGGTATTAAATGAATCCCCAAGTAGCACAAACATGTCCCTGCGACTACGTATTAACCAAATACAACGTCGCTCGAAGTGCAGATAGGTGTCCGTCAATGATTTTTCGTTAAAATTACGTCGTGCCGTCGTCCCTAATATGTGGTCAAGAAATCGGACCTTTATCTAGCTCAATTTTGACGTAATAAATGAAAACCAGTTTTAACGTTAAATTGATAACGTCAATCCGTCGTCCTCTTGTATACATGTGACCTCTGAAACGTTTTTTAAACGTCGTCTAATACGACCAATCACAATGTAAGATAAAAATCGTGAAATGGACGTCATAATATTGTACCAAATTCAACGTTGCATTGAAGACGTCAATCCGTCGTTATCTTCATATCCGGTGACCTCTGAAACGTTTTAAAAACGTTGTCTGACACGACCAATCATAAGGTCAGATAAGAGGTCTTAGAAAAACGTCCGGCCAACGTTAAAATAGGACACAGGTAAAATTTGGTGTAGCATTTCATACTTTTTGCGTCGTTCGTTGATAAACTGTCATCAGTCAAATAAAAGCATAAACAAACAATAGATATGGCGTTACTATAAAAAGTTCTTAACAATTTGAATAAGTATTTTCTTTTATTTTTTTGATATGATATGGGGCAAAACAGGAGCTTCAAAAACTCATCCACATATTACAGAAGAAGAATTTTTTTTTAGATTTAGTGAAAAGGAAGAAGTGTATTCCAAACATGAAGGAAATGGAGCAAGAATGGAAATTGGAAGAGAATCCTGTAATTTCCAAATAGGAAATTAAAAAAGATTCAATAAATGTCGGGTTAAAAGGAAATATTTCAAGATTTTGAACAACATCAAAAATAAAACTATCACAGTTTCCTGAAAAATTCCAAATAAACGAGAGCTTTAATGGCAGCAAATAACTAGTTCAGTTCCCCAAAACTTTGTAGAGGGCGCGAGTGAACTTGGAGTGCTTCAAATTTTGGCTGTTAATGTCAATAGTTTTAAACCGTTTTAATGAGTAGAAGGAAATATGACTACATATGAACAATGAACAGTGAATAATTAAAAATATCCCCCAAAACGTTCAGTGGCCCTTAAAGAATATTTCCAAAAGTGTTAGCGTAAGCTTGTCTTGAAACCACACATCAAACTTGACTTTTGAGGTTAAAATTACATTCGATTATTCTAGCGCCAAAATTTAAAGAGCTCCAACTACAGAAGCGCCCTCTTCAACTCAACTGTCAATATTACATGCCATTGAAGCACCTAAAGAACTGGTTGACAAGGCCATTATCATTTTATGTCTCCCAATATTCTTATAGGTACCAATTCATTTTGTTATTATTGTGAGGAGTTGGAAAATAAAATAACACCAATAATAAACCAAAAGTGCGAATTCGGTGCAATATATTAAACCTGGAACGTCCTTTATTTGGTTTGATATTGGTTTTTAGGTTAGTCATGGTTGACGACGTTTAGTAAACGTTCAAATCTGGTTGTCTATGCTGACGTATAGGTTAAAAATAAGTAAAGCCACGTGACCTGCGACGTCGTTACAACCATGAAATGATTCTCCATTTTGGTGAAAATAAGGGTTGTATAGTCATCTATTTAACGTCGCGCCTCAACGTCAAGACATCAATAACGACGTTGTTAGGACGTAAAAGCGCTGCTTGGGTCGCATTATTTTTTATTTTTAAATTTTGTTACAAGTTTTATTGTTCAGTTACATTTTATTGAATTATTCCTTCAAAAAAAAAGTGTCCCGATTTTTATTGAATGTCCCGATTTTTTAACAGCTTTTTGATTGGTATACCCGATTTGTAGATATTCCAATCTGGCAACCCTACAGACAGCACACATAATAAAGACATCTTTTTTTTAAGTCTGCATTACGCCTCAAGACAAAAAAATACGTCTTGAAGACGTTGTTTCAAAGATGTCCATAAGATTTCGTCAATTCACATCTTAAAGACAACTATATTTCATTTGGTACAACCAGGCCTAAAAGTGATCGAATAGGTAATGGTTTGTGTCTTGAAAACAGATTCAAAGACGTTTAATAAGACATCTCGTTGAAGAACGTCTTTAGGCAGACGTCTCACAAACGTAGGGTTTTGTAACATACGACGTCTTTAAGACGCCTTAAAGACGTCTTGAATGTCGTTTGTGGACATCTTGAGGGATGTATTTAGGTCTTCATTAAAATGTCTACAAAAATCAAAAATTTCCCACAGAATTCGTTTCTGATTAAATAGAAGATAGGTACTGGAAACCATAGAATGCTACAGACAGAACACTTTAGAACTCTGATAAATTAGCCTTTTGGGAAATTCAAAACATTTAAAATTCAAATTCAGAATATCCAAAAGCATTCTGTAGCGCTTCAGAACAATTTTTAAATTTCAGAACCATTTCAGAATAGGTACCCCAAAACATTCAAAAACCGCTTTACAATTTCCAATAGCATTTTAGAACAATTCCAGAAGTTTGGTGGGAAACTCAAGGAACAAAACAATTTTAGACCAATATCACTATTATCATGTTTCTCGAAAATTAAAGAAACATTAATGAAAGAAAGAGGAAAGAGTAAATGAATAATATATAAGAAGATATATATTATACTTTACAAAATTCCAATTCGGATTTCAAGCCAAAAAGAACTCTGTCAGGATGCTATGAAGAAGTGTATGGAGGAATGAATGAGAGAAATCAGATAGCCATTGTTTTTTGCGACCTAGCCAAAGCTTTTGACTGCGTCAACCACAAAATTTTGTTGGGTAAGCTGGAAAAATATGGTTTCAGGGGAATAACTTTGAAGTGGTTTGAGTCGTATCTGAAGGGTAGAAAGCACGTCGTGGTACCTTGACCTGATATGGGAACTATCATCGTTCAAAAATACAGGATGTCACCTGCTTGGTCCCCCATTGTTTTTACTGTTTGTGAAAGATTTGGCATTATTGAATATCTCAGGAAAACTCACCCTGTTTGCCGACGATACGTCAATCTGCTGGAGTGAAAAGAGTGCTGTGACTCTGGAAACCGAGACGAATAAGGACATGAGAGTGATCAAGGCATGGTTTGACATGAATGACTGTATTGAACGTGGACAAAACGAAATTGATGACCTTTCCAAAAAAACCACCCCTAACTTTAAGGATAAGGGAGAACACAATACAGAGCGTTTCAATTCAAACCACAAATTTCTGGGAATACATATTGATCGGGATCTGAAATGGGAGGAACAATTGAATAAAATTAGAAAGAAGTGATCATCAGTAATATTTGGTCTGAGAACTGTCACCATCGAACTGAATAACATTTCAACCAGTAAGGAAGTTTATCAAAGACCTTTTTCAGTTAAAAACGCATGAGTGCAAATTTGTCGAAAATTATAAATATATTTCCATTGCACGAGTTGTATTTAATGAGAAATTCATAAATCAAAAATTTAAATTTTTTGTCAAAAAATGTCAAAACACCAGTTTTCGCACCAGTTAGTAAGCAATTATCTGATAATTTGCACTAGTGCAAATTATCGCGTAATTACAATCTGATTGGTTCAAATCAACAATCAAAACATGTCAATTTATTGTTGGAATAC